GGTAGTATAAGCCTATTTACATTACAAAAGGAGTCTTATATTTAGACTTAGAAGAGTATATTTTTTAAGACTCGCTCTTCACACACACATTTTGTTAAAATAAGATAATCTTTACTAACGGGAGTTGGTCCAAGTGGTAAGCGGCTTAGTACCACTTAAGCGAGGTCTCGAGTTTGAGCCTCAGCATATGCGGAAATCCTCATTGGGAGACTCACCCACCACAGCTAGGTGCGTGACGCGGGTCGGATCCAGATGTAGTTGGAGCAGAGTTCCAGTGAACTGAGTGGGCAACTGAAAAAAAAAGAGATAATCTTTATATCTAATTTCCAATTTTAAGATGCTAAGTTAATTTTTTTGACCAGCAGATACTAAGTTAATTATTATAATTACTTCCATATAAAGTGATATATATTGTAGCTGACCAAAAATATATAATATTATAACGTTATATAAAATGAATAATGCATTTTGTACTCCCTGTGATTCCATACAGGAGTTAGCTATGAATGGGAGATTATCCTAAATATAAGGTATTAATTTATTTTCTCTCACATATTTATTATTTTTTAGAATAATTTACTTCACTAATAAAATCATATATAATCTAATATTGTAAATTAGTATTCAAAAAGATTATATTGCATTTGTTATAATTAACTAATTTTTTTAATATGCTCTAATAAATTAGTTAAGCTTTGGTTATATAAATTTAGTGATAAATTTATGTTTAAATAAAAAATAATCACCAATAATTAAAATTTTATAATTATGAAATTCAATGGTAGAAAAATATAAGTCACCTCATGAGTTTTAAGAAACTTCAGAACAATAGAGGATTTGGTCTCCCAAACGGGCTATCTCGTAGAGTGGATCGTAGACGCTCTTTCCATCCAATCCGAGCAAATGTAAACAGCATAAATTAACGACTATGCCCAATGAGTTTGTTTGATTTTATATACAAAATTTTAATTCATTATTTTACACTTTCTCTTAAATTGATAGATTTTTGCTAAATTTTTTCTATAATGCTCATGTGAAGAAAATTTTCTGCAAAGATTTATAGTTTATAGTTTATAATATAAATAATTAAAACATACATATTTTTTTATAAATTACTAATTTAACTAATTTTTATAAGTTAATTATCTAACTCCTACATCTAAAAATAAAAAAACTGTCACATGAAGAAAGTGAACATTTTAAGGCTAATAATTCTTTTCTTTGTATTCTTGAAATAGTGATTAACAGGAATCACAAATTTTTTTACAATAAAATTATGAAAAAATAATTAAAAAAAAAGTTAGAAACTACTAAATCTCAAATCAGGTTTGATAATAACCCTTTATTTGGTGTTGACAACACTAAATTTGCAAAACAACAAATTTTTGTTAGCATTTTTTATTTGGTATTTAATAATTTCTAACGTCTTTTTTTAAAATCATTTTTCTTAAAATTATAAAAGAAAAACTTTAATTTGATGAGGGGAAAATTCAGGAAAAAAAAATACTACCTCCAGTCCTAATTATAAGACTCAGTTGACTAATTTGAGGAGATTAATAAATTAAGTTAAGTTAATTATTTGTAATAAATAAATGTTGTCATTCCTAAAATATCCTTGCTAATTAAGTGTATTGGTTAAAACTATCATTATTAGAAAGACTATTTTGGAAAAAAATATATAAATATGAGAGACAAAATGGATTGGGATTTTATAATTAGAACCAAATAAAAAATCAAACAGAGTCTTATATTAAAGACCGGAGGTATTAGTTAATAAGAAAAAGTTATAGTAGCTTTTATTATTAGCTGATAAAAGATCGTAGTTTCCACTTCATCATTGGTAATGATAAAAGAAGACATCCATAATGAAAAAGCGGAAAAGCACATCGTGGATTGGATATTAAGAGAACAAAATCTTAATGATCCTAATAAAACAAAAGGAATTCAAAGGTCAGCAAAATAATAAAACAAAAAGATATTAAAGTTAGAACACTTTCTTTTTTTTTCTTTTTCTCTTTCAAATAATTAGCATGCGCCACGATGAAATTATTAGGCATGCATTATAACATACCCTGAAATAAATTAAAGTTAATAAATTCCAATTAAATTTAATATGCACAATTGCATCAAATTATTAATTTGCATTTTTTATTTTCATATTTCCAAATCAAGCACGTGATATGAGAAGTGCCTTTACAATATATCAAATAAAATATTAATGACATAAAATTATTTATAAATACGTGAATCGAGATAAAACTCTTCTCATACATTTATATCGTGTTTTGTAAACCATGATTTAAAAATTGTTTATAAGTCTCGAACCTAACTAGTACCACTTGGATAGTTGGGTTTGGCTCAAAACACACCACCGAAGACCAAATAGATGACAACCAAAAGTTTTAAGTAGCTAAACCCACTCCGGTCAACAAAAAAAAAGTAGCTAAACCCACATTAATATTCAATAATATCATTCATATACCTCTTGTATACAAAAAAAAAAAAAATCATTCACACACACGCACACACACATATATTATAAAAGTCAAAGCACATACCAGTAACCGGAAAAACTAATAAAAGTCATATTGTTGATAAGAAATCATGAATACTAGGATTTGCAGACTTTTCCTCAGCTAGTCTTTCTTTTTTTATTTTACATATATAAATATTAATAATTTATGACTAAATTCTTAAATGCAAATAAGTTGTCCTCAGCGAATTTTTGTTGACATCATTACTAATAATTATTTTGATCTTTTTTAATATTTATTATTTCATGTAGTTTATCTGAATAATTAACTCAACATGAATTATACGTTACATGCCATATTTATAAATTGATTTGCCTCAATATATGATTTTGTCCTTTTCTTGGATTAAATTTTGCGTGTGTATGTGCGTGTTAATAATCTTATAGAGAATTATTTTTAAAAAATTATAAACAGTTGATAACACATTTTGAAACTATAAATTAATATTATTATTTGCGCGATTAGGGGTAGCTTCCATTGATAACAAGAATAATATCCCTTAAAATATTCTGGCATGAACAATAATAAATAAATTCCTCACAACTAGGATTATTTGATATAAAAAAGTTGAAAATTAAACTCTCGAACGAGAATCCTGCTACTCAAATCAATCCCTCTCTGTTTTTTTTCTGGCAAGATACTACTCAAATCAGTCTAAATTGATTGATCTTATTATTTTAAACTATGATTTTGATAGATTTATTTGGTTAACTTGGTCAATCTTGACATTTTCTCCCCTCTTCCTATTTTGCAAGATTGGAGTTAGAAATCAATTTGATTACACCTTATTCTAAACCAATCTCTTTACTTCATCCACATCAACTAACCCAATTCATGTTCATGTGATGAATTAGATTTTCTTAAGACCTTTGATAGGTGTACTATCTCCAAACGATTGTTTATCAAAAAAAATTTCTCTTTATTTGTTTAAAGCTGTATTTAAATGGGAAAATGACAGATAAAGAAGCTCCAAAATGTGAAATGCCAATTTGGGAAGCTAAGGAAATGTAATTACCCATAGGGAAGTCCTTCCCAAATTGGGATTTTGAAATTCAGTGAAATGACAAAAATGCCCTTTGTTCTTTTTTTTTTTTAAAAAAAACCCAGCCCCTCACCGGTGGCCGGCGACCGGCGACCACCGCCGGCGACTGGCCTCCGGCGGCCGCCGACCGCCTCCGGCCACCGGCGCCGGCCACCGGTGTGGTGGCTGCCGGTGAAGGATTTTTGTGACAAGATTTTTTTTTTGGGAATAAGATAATATTGGTTCAAAGTGGCGGGGGTGAGATTTGATCCCACAACCCCTTAGCCACTTGGACCAACAAAAGGATGGCCATTGGGCCATCAAAGATTTCTTAACCTTATAATGCAAACAAAAATATAAGTTAACTCTTTTACTGTGACTCCAGCTCGTGACAACAATTTATCTGAGGATGACAAGTCTTAATTGAGAAATAACAAGTCTAAATTTGATATTAACAAAGCAACTTTTCCTTATACATAACATAGCAGCATGTGCATTAATTAAAAATGATCATAATTTATTTAAAAATGACACGTCTTTACTATAAAATGACAAGTCTAAAATTGATATTAACAAGGCAACTTTTCCTTATACATAACAAGAAATAGCATCTACGTTAATTAAAAATGACTATAATTTATTTGAAAAAAACACGTCTTTACTGGAAAATGACAAGTCTAAATTTGATATTAACAAAGCAACTTTTCCTTATACATAACAAGAAATACCGAATAAATTGTTGTTATTTTTCAACAAAGACGTGTCATTTTTAAATAAATTATGATTAATTTTTATGTATAAGGAAAAGTTGCTTTGTTAATATCAAATTTAGACTTGTTATTTCTCAATTAAGACTTGTCATCCTCAGATAAATTGTTGTCACGAGCTGGAGTCACAGTAAAAGAGTTAACTTATATTTTTGTTTGCATTATAAGGTTAAGAAATCTTTGATGGCCCAATGGCCATCCTTTTGTTGGTCCAAGTGGCCAAGGGGTTATGGGATCAAATCCCACCCCCGCCACTTTGAACCAATATTATCCTATTCCCAAAAAAAAAATCTTGTCACAAAAATCCTTCACTGGCAGCCACCACACCGGTGGCCGGCGCCGGTGGCCGGAGGCGGTCGGCGGCCGCCGGAGGCCAGTCGCCGGCGGTGGTCGCCAGTCGCCGGCCACCGGTGAGGGGCTGGGTTTTTTTTTTAAAAAAAAGAAGAACAAAAGGCATTTTTGTCATTTCACTGAATTTCAAAATCCCAATTTGGGAAGGACTTCCCTATGGGTAATTACATTTCCTTAGCTTCCCAAATTGGCATTTCACATTTTGGAGCTTCTTTATCTGTCATTTTCCCTATTTAAATTGTGCCATAAATTCTTAAAATGTCTTGGAGTTGGTGATCAAGAGGTGTAATGCCTCTCAATACATGCTTGTTCTGTTTCTGATCTTTCTTTGGTATAGTCAACATGGAGTACAATCATTTATATTGATCACTTAGGACATGACAAAAAGTTTATTGATCATCCAACTTTGCTAACTAATTCACCTAGTCCACAAGAGAGACTCCACCTTAATAGTGGTGATTTACACAATATTTATTACTTGGTGGAAATGAACTTATTGAGAATGAATTGAAGATACAGTTGATGTGATTGCATTGGTACGTGGGTCAGCAGTTTCCAAACAAACCCCATTAGGATCTTCTCTGACTAGCAAGGCAAGAACGTTCAGTGAACTCCATACGTTAGTCACTTCTTTGCTTGAATCTCCCAATGTAACAGCAAAGATTGCATCAAATCCTCCTGCTCCTGGAACTCCAGACAACAGAACTCCTTCCAACTTCATAGTGGCATCCAGAAGTTGTGTCTGTGATTCTGGTTCAATCTGTATAATTTTGCAGACAATGAGATCATAGAACCCATCAATTATGTTAAGTTTTGAACATCATTTTTCCATATATGAGAATTTAGCAGCATAAACCAAAAACTGAAGGTTATTTTCGTGCTTCCATAATTACTATGTTCCAATCCATCCTGAGCCTCTTATCTTATCCAAAGTCTATTATCTTGGTTCGGTAAATTGAAATTCCTATGCCAAAAGGAATGATCTAGCGTATTCAATGGTACACGAAGCCATAATCTGGTACTTCATTCAGTTCTCAACTTAATCATTATGACGGCATATCTTTCTTCAATTTTACCAAGAGCGAATCAGAAGCAAGCAAATAATGATCATGGTATCACTCCTATCTCAAAGCTAGACATAAGATTATGTGGGTAGTTTTTACCCATCTCAATTTGTAGACCTTTTCATGGGGAAAGTAATGCGTATAAACAAGAGAACAATGAGTAATGAGCACTCAGTGTAATGATCTTACTGGAACACCTGCGGCCTCTCCCATCTTGCGCATAAGTGATCTGATCAGAAGCATAGCGTCTTTCGCTCCTTGCAGTGCATTAACAACTGCCTCTTCGTTGGGTTCAAAAGCTTGTTCTATCCACTGAAAGTAGAGTTTTAATTTCAGGCATTAACATTAAAGGAGAAAAGCAATAAGAATTTACAATGCGGCTAGGAAAAGTAATGAAATTCCAAGTCATAAAAGACAAGTCTAAAAAAAATGCAGGTCAGCCATTCAGTTATCAACTTCACTAATGATATAATTGAAAACTACGTTGATTGTAGCATTTTCTCGCATATTTCTATTTAATTATCACTCAGTCATTGCTATATAATATGCAAACTAACTATTGCCAAATAGTTTCATTGACAGTCGGTTAACATAAGAACGTGCATGATTGACAATGGTCTTAATTGCAAGGACTAAATCCAAAAATGTCCCACCTATCAGGAACCGAATGATCGTATTACAAAATGTCACACCTATTAGGAACCGAAATAGGGTTTAGTGGATTCTATATTAAGTGAAGATATTTTGTTCTTCAAACATATACCATTAAACATTCACAAATGAGCTCAAGAAAGACCTTATCTGATGTGAGCTTGCTGCACTTGTTTATAACAAATCTATATGCATCCCATTGTTCCTTTGCTAATTTTGTTAACAATTTCAATCGTCCTTCCAGAGCTGAATTTGCATCCAATAACCTTCTCCATGTGTCCAGGGATTTCTGAGGGTCAGACTTTTGCCATTTTCTAACAGCACCAACCATTGATGGAGTGGATGATCCCCCTATTCCTGGTTCGCCTAGTAACTAGAAGAGAGGATTAACCAACATGAGAAACAAGACATTCCATGTCCTCCAACAAGAAAGTCAAGCAATTCAGATTTAAGTAGTTAACAGCATCAATTTCTTATAGATGGGAGGTACTCCCATGTAAATTCACAATCTAATCAGGGGTGTGTCTGATAAAATGGGAAACTTAAACATCAAGACATATTTGGTTGTTAAAAGGCCAAATTGTGGATTGGCAGAAGGAAAGTTTTACTAGGAACAAAAAGCTAGAAAAAGTCCACAAGAACATTCAAATGAGAAAAAAAATTCAATTATGATAAGTGAGACAATACTACCATCTTATTTTCCCTTCTTGTCAAGGACCCTAAACTACTAAGTGAAGGTCTGTAGTTGGATATAATAACATCTTTAACGTCTCCTTTGAAGAAAGCTTTAGAATAACCAAATTGATTGAAAATCTAACATATGTGAAATTTGGATTCCTTACAAGATTCATCAAGGGTGGTAAAGAAAATTCAGTCCTCTCATGGTCCCATTTACCCTTTAGAATGCCAGTGATTACTTCTGGTAAAGGCACTGCTCTCTCTGCAGCCTGTAATGTAAACAAAATCAATGCTTTCACAACAAATATACTGCCATGATTGGAAAATATCATTAAGTCAATACGGAGAGGTAACAAATACGACCATTGTAACAAGTTTGACATAGAACAAGCAATAAAAATTTTCTAGGGCCAGTAATAATAAGTATTTCTTGAAATCCAACTGGGTGCATCTGGGATTTGTTTTGCTCATGAGGAAACCAATAAAAGGAACAAATTAACAAATGTTGTAGAATAAATACAGACTGTAATGAGATCATATATCATGCAAACATACCTGCCAGAGTGTTCCAAGATTTTACAGAAGAGAATGATCACTGAACTCAAAGGGAACCCAAAATGCGGTTCAGACAAACCATCATCAATATATAAATATATATATATGTATTTATATCTTTATTCAATGGTGAGTTTCTTGGGTGCACAAGAAACACAAGAATTCACAGGAAAATACCTGGGCAGAAGAAATCAAGTCCAGTGAAAACCGCACATAGCGTTGACTGCCATAAACAGCCGAACAGACATCAAACCCACTGCCCACTTTCCCTTGTGCAACACAGTGAGCAGTTTGAGCTATCTTGTGCACAACATCAAGATCTGATGTATCCTTCCTTTCCTGATGATCTTTGGACGAGGAAAGTTTTACAACTCCAAGGTAGTGAAGTACAGAAGCAGCTACAGCAGTTGTCATGGCTGCAGATGAGCCCAAACCAGTTTTAGCAACTTCAGGTTTGCAATTTCCTCCATTGACATCCCCAACATTGAAGGTTATGGAGGTAAAAGGTGGAAAGTTGGCCAATGATTCGGGCGTCAAAGGGAACCCAAGCTCTTCAATCTGTACAAGAGTTTATTAGCAAATTAATTTCTTAGGTTAAGCTTTTGAATACCATGTGTAGTACAAATCCTCAAAAGGTTTAGGGAGGAAGTATTGAGATGGGGAAGATGAAAGAAAGGAAGAGAAAGGTAGGACATGTTTCACCAGTGCAAAGTAATTGTTCTCGCTAGCAATGAACATAACGGACATCAAAATACATTTTCAACATGGTCAATGCAAACTACTTCAACCAAAGGCCGAAAGTTTGTCCTGTAGATAATGAGGAAAGACAAAGGAAAATAAACTACCTGCTTCCTGTACGAATAAAAACCATTACAACCCAAAATTGTGATTCCAAGACCTGCAGAACTGATCCGGTTAAAAAAATTGAAAGCTTGAAACTCTTCTTTCTCTGATAAAAGGAAAGAGAAACATAAATCACATTGATATAGTACCTTTTAGAAGCACATTGTGCAACAAGTTCTTCTTATTCTTATCAAATGTTGCTTGAGCAGCAGCAACAGAATATTGTATTGCATATTCCACAAAAGAATTCCTGGTTTCACTGAAATTGGGAAACAAATAATTTAAGCCTCGCCTCAATATTTAATTTAACCTTGCGTTCAATCTACTACTTTTGAAAAGTTCTGAAGAATGTGAACTTCTTCACCCTGCCTGACCATGCAAAATGTTTATCCTACAGTAAATTGACCTCTTTGATAGATTGTGAAGTTTGGATTGAATTCCACTCCGCAATTGTATATTGTAATCGAATTAAATTAATTAAAAACAAAAAAAGAGCTTTGAAGGATAGAAGATGAGAAGGAAGAAAAACGAGAAAAAGAAAACTTACCTCGAAGAAACACATTGGATTGTAAGATTCTCCAGGTCTAGCTTGTACATGCCTTCTCTGGAGAGTTGAGGTGAAGTCACTTTAACATCTGCCGATGCCTGAAGATAAGACAAGTAACATGTGATAAAATCACTAAAATTGGAACATTTGGGGGAAAAAAAAACAAAGGAAAAATAGCTTAGGCTAATAAAACACCAAATAAATGTAAAGAAATTTACATTAAGTGCGTGGTACTGTAGATGACATCAATAATTTAAACTATTCAACAGGCGCTAGCTTTTAATAAACTACATTGGCAACAAGGGTACTTCATTCTTGATCTTAAATTGGCTTGTTCATTAACATGGCTCAGGAGGTATTATGGCACATTGTACTTGAAGCCATGGATGACCAGGTGCAAGTATTCGGATAAACTTGAAAAGTTCCTTTTGTTTCAGAAAACAAACAAACAACTTCGTATTAAAAAGAGTTATTAAATTGCCATATGATTTCATCATCTTCGCTCATAATTATCATGCAAGAGAGCATTTTGGAAGTAGCAAATCAAATCAAATACAAATGCATCACAGTATCATACAAATCACAAGTATGCAATAAGATCCCACCCCTGCGTAGCTGTCGGATTTCGTTTCTTCATACAGTGGTTTCACGATTGCATAGAACCGAGCACTGGTACTGAGTACAAGTCCCGCATTTGGCCTCTCCAATATAAGGTAACCCCCTGTTATCAATACCTTCCCTGGAGCAGAAGCTACCCTGAGCAGAGCAAAGAGTCGTCGACAAGTAACAATTAGAATAAAGAAGTATGTTTTTGCTTATCGTTATAGAATGGGTGAAGGCAAACTGATTATTAGTTTCCTCCGTTTGATTGATCGGGATTCATAAAACGTCTATCGCTTCATCCGAAAATTCCCGTTTCACATTGGACATAACAAACCGTTCTTGCAGAAATAGCATTGGAGATGCAAATTCTTAGGTGTTAAGGACGAGAATTAACTTACACGGCCATTGTTACTTCAGTCATCCCAATGAAAATGAATGATGAGATTTAACTCAGTTCAGCCGGGGACCAAAGAATGCTTCAACTGTAAATGAAATAAGAACTGAAAAAAAAAAAACTTATATTCTGAAATTACTTTATCATGAATCGCTTTAGAGATGAAGAGAGCGAAATGAAAATGATAGTAAGCAATGCACCTCTAGATTTTTCGGGTTAGAATTTCTGCTCCCTGCAAATTAATAATAGCTGTGTTGATATGGAGTTCACCTTCATATACTTTTCTCAGATTATAGTATTTCTGGTTTTGCTTCTGGTTTTGCTGCCTCTTCAATCAGAACACATGCAAGTTAAGAAACGAACATTGTATATGAAGGAATTAGTGAGACAAGTGAAGAGATTATTCAACCGTGAAGAAGATATAGCTATGATTTGTTGAATAGGAAAAAAAAAAAAAAAATAGCACTATTTAACAATATGCAAGTGCCTCGCGTTGCACGCGGTTGGTAGGCTTTCAGTAGCATTGCTTTCTTTTCACATGCATACATGTGTTCTGTTCTCTTGCGTCTTCATTCATCATTATAGAGGCCTGCTCTGCTACTGATGCTTCAACTACTCTATTCAATGAACTTTTTTTTTTCTTGGAAAAATTAATTTTTTTGGGAAAACCATTCCTAGAGTATCTATAGTATTCTTTTTAATTTTTAATTTGGTAACTGTATGTTTTTTTTTCCTTATTAAATCTTTCAATTTTACACTTTTTAATATAATTAACCCCTGTGACTTTACACTATTAATATTGATAGATCATGTACAAAAACTAATTATGTTAACAAAGTAAAATTACATGATTTAATATGGAGAGAAAAACTCACAAGTATCAAATTAAAAATTGACGGAAACTATAGGCACCTCAAAAGAATGATTTTTCTTTAATATTTTAGCTCTTCAACTTTTAACTTACTTATAAATCAATTTTTAAACTTTTGACTCGTTTATGACTTAGTTTCTTATATTTTTGTTTTCATTTTATTGTTATCTTTATTATTCATAATTTAATTTTGACTCACCCTACATGGCAAAAATAATTAATAAGAGTCTTCCAACTCATGTAGGATAAGTCAAAATTAATAACAAAAAAAAAAAAGATAACGAACTGATTCACAAATGAGTCAAAGCTTCAAAAACTAAATTATAAGCGAGTTAAAAATTGAAGGACTAAAATATTTTTTTTTTTTACCCAATCAAATCTTCTTAAACAAAGTTTTACTATTTTGGTTTAAATAAATGTCAATCTAACCCTTTTATATATTCATCTCAAACACTTTTTTTTTTACCATTTAAAAAAAATGCATGCAGCGAATAGTATTGTGGGTCATGCCAATATTTTAATTTTTAATAATCTCCTGACATAAAAATACAAGGAGGTTGTAAATTTTTTTTTTGGGTACTTTTAATTGTGTCCGTTCCTCTAATAAAAGAAGAAATGAAATATTGGAGGCGGAAGAAAGAAATGAGGAAGGCCCAAGTAGAGCCCAGAATATGGGGTTGTGGCCAGTTTGCCTGCCCGCCAACCGGCCTTGATGAGGCCATAACCCGCCATCCTTTTTTTTAAAAAAAAAAATTTTTTTATTCACTTTCACTTTCCTAGAGGCCTCATTCTCCCCCGGCCTTACCTTCGCAGTTCGCACCCTCGTCTGTCGCTTCGCTGTGTCTCTCACTCACGCATCGCATCGCATCGCTGTCCCGCAGCTCGCGTCGCGTGACTCCGTCTCCCTCCCTCGTCGTCGTCGAGCTCCAGCCACCACCAGGCACCAGCGACCAGCGTTGCTCCGTCAAGCATTGGAGCAGTCGAGCATGCGTTTTACGTTATTACATATGCTGATCGCTAGATCAAATTGACGGCCAGTATTGCGAATCTGTACGGGACAGCATGGAACGCAAAGAATCAGGAGACAAACCGAACCCTTCCTAATCGGACTGCGTCTCTGTGCAGGGTCTCCAGTTGAGAGAGAGGATCACAGTTCTGCTAAAAGCGCTCGCCGACGATTGAAGGTAGCGTCTTCTATTTGGATTTCTCGGCTATTAACTGTTATATTTTTCAGAACCTAGCAGGCAGAGGCGATAATTTGCTTGAATTTCATCATCTCTTTCTCACATTTCCACCCTAGTAAATATTTTTTTTTAATGAAAGAGTCAATACATACCTCAAATTCGAAAGGAAATAGCAGTTGCAAAGATAGAAGATAACCTAGAATAAAGGTCTACATGTATAACAACAAAACATTGCCAAAAAAAAAAAAGGTGGTTGAATCAGGTACGGTGAGACTTTCTTTGTTTATTTTCGGTGTCCACTGTGGATATAAATTAGTTTAAAATTGTTGCCTACCTAGAAGTTTGTTCACATTGGAGGGAAGTTTTATGGAAGTAAATATTTCTGGGTGTTAATGTAGGGTACTATTTTGAAGTACAGTTGTTGCATATTTATTTACTTAGTATCTTTTTACCATTTATTCCGAAATGTACAAGGTATGTAATTGTATTTACGTGCCAGAAATTTTACCTGCATGTAGGAGGTTATAAGCGACTAGTTGAAGATATTCAAGCATCAAGAAGACCTGCTGCATAATTACTATATCCCTATTGTTCTGGAGGAAGCATTTGAGAAAATGCAGAAACTGGGCGAGTTCAAGCTACCCCATTTCTTCAATTATCCACCATACTTCACGTAAATGCCTTTTCTTTATATACTGTGTAATTTTTTAGGGAGTTGACGAATGCCAATTTTGATGATTTGATGTCCATGTTGGTAGTTCTAGTTTACACATTTACTAACAAGACGTGTATACCTTCTGCGAGTTGACAGACATGTCAATTATTTGTATTGACCTTCTGTGGGTTGACATACATATCATTTATCGTCACTTAGGAGGATGAGCTACAAAAGAAAACTGCAGCTGTGTTTTTACGAATATTATATCAGTATTGCATTAGCTATTCCACTGGTCTATAGTATCTGGTCTGAGAATTTTCTTCTAAACCCCACAGGGGATGGCTTTGTACGCTTTAGACAGTACTGAAAATTGGTAAAAAGATGAACCAAATCAAACATTTCAGAACTGATCAGATTTGTCACTCTCATGATATCTATACGAGGACAAGCAGGAAGTGATTTTAGTTGCCAAGAGGATATCTGTGCCAAATTTCGGAGATTTTCATACCAAATAGTTTGGGTTCCATCAGCTGAGATATTTTTTATGATAGTATCAAGAGCCATTGTGAAAAATCCCAATCGAATAAACAGTATATATGCTTCATGTTGCATATGAATGTTGTTGCATAATGGATTCTTTTATTTCTAAAAATTCAATCGCATGTGGTGTTCATTATCATGCTTGTATTTATATTTAATTGTTATATTAACCAGTCAGAAACTTGCGGTTGATTAGTAGTTTGAACTATTGTTGAGGGAACTCTACAAATTTAGGGGTTTGAAATCACTGAAAACTCTTGTGGAGTGGGGCAACCACAGGTACTGAGTGAGATTAGTCCCACTCTAAAAGAATGTGGGGTGTTTCTGAGAAATCAAAAGGGGGAAAAATAAACTCATGGTTGATTAGGCTTGTGCCTCTGGCGTGGTTGTTTTTTTAGTTTGCAGCCTGTGAGAGACACAAGGGAGAAGCAAGTACAGTTGTGGAAAGATCTTATCCTAGATTACTGCAAAACACAGAAGATATTTGTAGTTGGTCTTGAAGACGAATTCCTTCTATTTTCAAATCCTGCAATTGAAAGTAAGATCATCGTTCCTGCCCGCTTATTGATTTTATTGTATCCCTGAATCAAATTGATAGGTCATACAAAATGCTCTAGTTGTCTATGTTGCTTATTTACCTCTTTTGCCATGTGGATTGCTTTTTGACTTGTTTATAGTGCAGGATCCCTGAGTCATGAAGCCAGAGAAGCCTTCCTGTCTGCATTAGTTTCAGAAGGTTTGTGGTCATACAATTGAGTTAAATTTCTTGAGTTTGGTTGAGAGGAAACACATAAACTTCAGATCTGATTTGGCAGGACGAGCTGAATGGATGGATAAAGGGCGTAAAAAATGTCTTATTCTCTGGCACCGGATTCAAGATTGGGCTGATATTGTTGTACAATTTGTAAGTTACGATTAGCATTTTTGTAATCCTGGTGCTTGAGCTGTTATTTAATGCATTTTAATTGAATTTGCCCCATATTGACTAGGCAAAAGATAATGGATTGGAAGACGGCGTGGTGACGGTAGAGGAACTGTGCTCAGGGACTGAATCTCAAGGAACAGGTAATTTTCTGAGCTGTATCCGCCCTGTATTTGGAATAAAAGCCATCCTTCCGATAGATTTAGCACGCCAAAGATGGTCTTCATGAAATATAGTTATATCTACTTATCCAGTATTTTTTTCCCCCTTCTATGCTCGTTGCTATCGAAACTGTGGTAGGAAAAATTTGTCTTGTGATTATAATTGGCATTCTGGAACTTTCTGGTATACTGCAGAGCTTCATGGGATAGACCGCACGATCTTGAATCGTGCTTTGAAACTGTTGGAACAGAAAGGGAAGCTTGTCATCTTCAAGGGAACTTCAGCAGATGATGAAGGTGTCAAGTTTTCTTTATAGTTTATGATTTTTGGGTATGTATTAAGAGGATGTCTATAATTGCCCGCCTGATTTGGCTGGATTGTTGTTTGTTAAGATCAAGCTAAGGCCCTTGTACTGACTGGGATATTCTACTGTCACGCACACAAAAGAGCGATTCTTCCTGTGCATACTAAGGAGTATGGATCCCAATTTATCCCTTGTTTTTCTAGCCAAAATTACTGTACATAAATGCATTTGTTGTTCCTTATAATATTAGAATTAAATTCTTGGCGTTGAAGAGCTGCTTTGTGAACTTTCTTTTGGAAATTTTCTTACAGAGACTTGGAAAAATATAGTGTTTTAGCAGAACTTTGTAAAGATTACGAGGTTTTTTTTTTCCTTTTTTTTTTTGGGTTTACAAGATTACGAGTTCTGTTAAAAGCAGTCATACAGAAAATTGTTTTATGGCAAGGAATTTGAAGCTTTTGAGGCGCAACAAGGGTTTTCGTTACGGTGACCTTTTATGCTTATATTTTTTATGCTCTGCATTGAGAGGTCAGGGAACCTGATTGAAGAAGCAATTAGACTCGGAGGAAGAGCATTTGACTTGGAAGAGAGGGACCTTCTAAAATCTAGTAGTCCGTTTTGGAGTGGCTTCATTAAATCTGCTGCATGTTACTATTATCCTATTAAGTAGGATTGGTTACATGAATCGTGTCATTGAGTTATATTATAAACTAAATCTTTGAGTATATTGTTAATTGAAAGATCTCACTTAATAATTTCATTAAATGTTTTTTTTGGCTTTTTTCTATTCCTTTTAAAAGACTTTATACTATTTTATCTTTTTTTTTAACCTGCACGTTTAAAAACCTTTGCATGTAACCAAACAAGCCCAAATAATTTTATACCATTTTCTCATTGATAACGTCCAATTCAACACTTTTTTCACGTATGATGTTACGTCTATACGCCTAGAGATTTTCACAAATAAGCTAAAATGCCTCAAGCTCAATAATAATGAGTTTACAAATGACCGTCAAATTCCAACACCAAATTCATCATAAACGTTGCTTTCTAATGCATGTCTTCTCTGGAAGATACATTCCTACAACGTACAAACCCGCAGATAGACTTTGAGCATAATGATCCTGAATTTGACTATCAGAGAGGACATGTTCCTAAACTTCACGAAAACACAAAAGTTGGGTCAAGTTCTCAGATTTTACTAGGATAAAAAAAGCATTTATTTGTTGATTATGCCCCCACACTTTGCTCTTTCATTCTCTTTCATCTCAGAACACCCAAACCTTGCCTAAAATAAACATTTAAACTCAAATGGAGGCCTCGATCCTTGTGAAATCCCGCCAAGGCAAATGATGGCCTCCAATGCAAAGCATTGCCATTTTATGACAACATCACTATGAACTGTGAAGTCTTTAGTTCGAAAGACTTGACACAAGGCCATTTTCACCATTCACATACCACCGGCCTTAAATGATGCAGTTTGCTTGTGAGTTAAATGCAATACGCAGAGGCACAAAACCCAATATAGTTCCTTCCAGATAAATAAAGCTGGCTTTTTTTTTATTTTTGTTTCCGAAATTCAATTTACAGCACCAAGAAAGTTACAAAACCAGGAAAAGAAACATGAAAATAGAAAACATATTTTTCTTTTTCTAGAGCTCCTAATAAACAATCATAAGAAAATAGCACATCTATGGCTTTCTTCCAGTTGCGTATTCCTACATGTAACTCAAATCATGTATAGTAGGCAAAAACTGCATGACCCATGAAGCTGCAACAATAAAATGAATACAATATCTCTACCAACTCACGAAACTGATAAGGTCCACGCATTAAGGGAGCTACAGTCTTATTGCATCGGGGGATAAAAAGCTCCTTCAACCAAAAGATGGAGCTAAACATTCGTCAACCATATCCACTAGGTTTGGATTTTCCAGTGCAGCAGCCACCCTTTCTTTATCATTTAGCTGTTTATTAACTGCAAATGCATTTGCAAAAGAAGTTGAATTGAACAAGTCCAGTCATAATCAAAGATTTGCAATAAAAAAAAATTCAAGACTCAATCAAGGACACGGAGCACAGGCAACTGGGTCAAATTACAGCATATGTTTGATGACTTAAACTCAATTAACCGAGGTATTAAATCTGAATCTGAATCTGAATCTAGTGAGAGAAACATATATTTAATTCCCGGGAACAACAACATTTGAAAATCTGCTGTAAAAGAAAATCACTAGTATACATCACTTACTGAAGAAACACAATCAACAAGCAAATCAGGAATGTGATTTGTCTACATCAGTTTTGAAAGTACTGACTTTACATTCACCGACAAACAAATGTACACTGTGTGAGATGGGGGGGAGGGGGGGGAGGGGGAGAGAGAGAGAGAGAGAGAACCTGCAGCCTCAGTAGCATGAGATCCAGGTGCTACTCTGATATCCACCTAACCGTCATTTTAAAAAAGAAAATAAGAAAGAGATATAGTTGAGAAGATACACCTTAAATAGAACAGGTGTCTAAAAATCACTAGAATATGATCTAAACTCCATAAATGCTATACGTTACACTTTAAAGGGTACCAAAGATCGATAATTTGTGTATTACAATATTGATTGACAGTACAATCATGTTGCAGTTCATAGAAACGAGCATGGTGCATGGGTTATAGTTAGGAGTAAGCACACTTGGTAGGATATCATGCAACAGAATTGAGTATTGCCCTTTCATTATTATATACCCTCTGTTATGCAAAAGAGAATCTACAATACTCAGGAAAAAATACAATGGTTAAAGCAACCAACCACAACGATGTTGGAACAAATAGAATGTTATTCCATGGACTCACAGGTCTATCTATACTGGTTCCAAGCTTTTCTGATCCACAATATACCAAGAATTCCATTGCATGATACACATGTCAAGAGTCAAGACCCAATTTTCCAGAAAAATTTCGTCCACATATTAGGTTAGCCTAACAAAAATAGCAAACTGCAAACAGATGTTGGTACCTTGTAGCGTGAAGGAAGGCTCCTCATGAGTTTCACCCGTAAGCATAGACCAATGATAGTTGCCATGCTACAATGTTCAACTGTAGGAGCAAACGTAACCCTAATGCAAGGCATCAGAATCCAATATAACAAGGAAGTTTTGACATGCATAATTAAGGCGAAACAACCCCAACAAAAAAAGAGCAAGAGGGGGAAGATGATCAAACTGTTCACTACCTGACATAACTATGCTGATCATCAACTTCAATCGCATCTTCAGTTATTACTTTGAGCTCTTCCAAGGAGTATGGATGCTCTGGGTCTTTAATATCCCTTATATGATTTAAGAATGTTAAGCAAACTAATCTTAAAATTGACTGACTTGACGAGAAGACTAAATTCTAATGCTTCAAATTCAAATAATACACATAAACAGAAGCACACAAAACATATATATAAATTGATGGTTGAAAAGGATATCAAAAATTTCTTGTTGATCAATCGATTCCGCAACATTGTCATCAGTGGAGGTGGGCGTGGTGCGAGCTCGACGCTCTTTCTTTTCGTAGATGATAGGATTAGCATTTATTAAGCCAGATACCATTGTGCCGGCTAATGTAGAGCTCTGCTTTAGTTTCAAATTTCACAGATTTAAGAAGGGATCCTATAGGAAGGAGCTGGAAAACTCACAGATTAGGGCAATAAAGAAGGGGGAAAGGTGTTTTGAGTGGTAAGAGGGGAAGCCAACTAAAGCCGCCCGAGGATGATCGAGCTCTGCCTGCGACGGATGAACGGCGAGTACAGGAGAAATTCCGAAGAACCCGATGAAACTTCTCGACTGGGGCATGCCAATTCATGATTTTATATTTTAGGGTTCAATTCAGAATTTTTTTTTTTTTAAAAAAAAATAACACCCCCATATCAGATTTTTTTTAATTAATTTTATGAAATCTGCTTAAATACAAGTATTTTTTTTTAAATGACAAAAAAACTGTAAAATTACTAAATATAAAATAAAAGATGTCAATAAAAATTTATTATTATTTATAAATTCGGTATTATTAACTCTGCCTATGTTGTATAGCCGGTCCCAAGCCCGGATAAAGGAGGAGGGTTGTGTTAGGCCCTCGACAGCCAACGTAAAAACCCGTCGAATCTCATAAACATGGATCAACGAAGTAATTATGCTAATGCTAGGTCGTTGCCCAGATGTGACGCGCTGTATGGCTCGAGTACAGTGAGAAATGAGCTAGAGCCGCTGCATCGTCGCCCGGATGTAGTGTTAAATGAGCAAGGGCTACCGCACTCTCTTGGACGGAGGCGGCTAAAGAAGTTAGTTCATGAGACTGAGATTAGATTTGGCACTTGAAATATTGGGACGTTAAATGAGAAATCTATGGAAGTAGCAGGAGTTATGAGGAACAGAAGGATTAATATCTTATGCCTCCAAGAAACCAAATGGACTGGAGAAGCTGCCAAGGAACTTGGAGAGTATAAACTTTGGTACACAGGAAAGGTGAGCACAAGGAATGGGGTTGGTATCATCGCTGATGGGACATGGAAAAAAACGTGGTAGAGGTTAAAAGGTTTGAGGACAGAATAATATCGTTAAGAGTAATTGTTGGAAAGGATACTATCAATATCATTAGTGCCTATGCACCTCAGGTTGGGGCAGAGACACACCTTAAAGATAAGTTTTGGGAAGATATGGAGGGCTTGGTTCAAAGCATACCACTCGAAGAAAAAAATTTTATCGGTGGGGACCTTAATGGACATGTTGGTAAAGAAGCAGGACAATTCAGTAGGGCCCATGGTGGTTTTGGTTTTGGGGAGCTTAATAGTGGAGGACAATCTATTCTTGATTTTTCTCTTGCATACGATCTTAAGATTGTCAACACTTGTTTTAAGAAGCGAGAGGAGCATTTAATCACGTACAAAAGTGGTGTCTCAAAATCACAGATTGATTTCTTTTTTGTTAAGAATCCGGACAGAAGATTGTGTACTAATTGCAAAGTGATTCCAGGAGACGGGGTGAGTGCCCAACATAGAGTACTTATCCTTGATGTATGTTTTAAGAGTACCAGGCAAAAGTACCATCAAGTGGCAAAACCCAGGATTAAGTGATGGCAGTTAAAAGGAGAGAAGCAGGAGTTATTCAAAAGGACTCTTTTGAAGGATGGGAATTGGGAGTTGCAGGGAAATGCAAACATGATGTGGGAAGAGATAGCTTCAAGGGTTCGTTTGGTAGCTAAAGCAATTTTGGGAGAATCCAAAGGTCCTGGTCAAAGAGATAAGGAGACTTGGTGGTGGAATAAGAGTGTGCAAGAGAAAGTCAAACAGAAAAAAGATTGTTTTAAGGCCATACACTTGTGCAATAGTGTAGAGAACCAGGAAAAGTATCAGTTGGCTAAAAAAGAGACAAAGAGAGTAGTGAGCAAAGCACGTACTAAAGCTTATGAAGGGTTTTATCAGGAGTTAGGAACAAAGACGGGAGAAAGAAATATTTACAAGATCGCGAAGCAAAGGGAGAGGAAAAAGAGAGATCTGGACCAAGTAAAGTGTATAAAGGATGAAGATGGTAAAGTGTTAGTTACTGATGGTGATATTAAGGACAGATGGGAGGCTTACTTTTACAAGTTGTTTAATGAGGGAAGCAATTATGCGACTCAGGACTTGCAGGACTTGCTTAATTAACGAAGATGATCGGAATTTGGCTTTCTACCGCAGGATACGTATCGGAGAGGTTAAGGCGGCTCTCAAGAAAATGGACAATGGAAAAGCCGTTGGGCCTGATGGTATCCCTATTGAAGTTTGGAAATGTTTGGGCGATGAGGGGGAGGCGTGGCTAACCAAGCTTTTTAATGAAATTCTACGCTCTAAAATATGCCGGATGAGTGGAGGAAAAGCATTTTAGTTCCTATTTACAAGAATAAAGGAGACATTCAAAACTGTGCAAGCTACAGGGGGATAAAACTTATGAGTCATACAATGAAGTTGTGGGAAAAAGTGATGGAATATAGATTGAGGTTGGAGACTTCTATTTCGGAAAACCAATTTGGATTTATGCCAGGGAGATCCACATCGGAAGCAATCTATTTACTAAGGGGGTTAATGGAGAGATATAGAAGTAAAAGAAGAGATTTACATATGGTTTTTATTGACCTGGAAAAGGCTTATGATCGTGTGCCAAGAGAAGTATTGTGGAAGGCTTTGGAAAAGAAAGGTGTACGGGTTGCGTATATCAAAGTCATACAAGATATGTATAAGGCGGTAACTACCAGTGTAAGGACGCCGGGGGGGGAGACAAAGGACTTCCCTATTAAGATTGGCCTACATCAGGGATCCTCTTTGAGTCCGTACTTGTTCAACATTGTTCTGGATGTTCTAACTAAACCTGTTCAAGAAAGAATCCCTAAGTCCATGCTCTTGCGGATGATATAGTTCTTATGGCGGAATCAAAAGAAGAAATTAACACTAGTTTGGAGTTATGGAGAAGGACTTTGGAGTCGAAAGGTTTCCGTTTGAGTAGGAACAAAACAGAATATATGCATTGTGATTTTGGAGGGAGGCAAGGTAATAGGGATTTGGAGGTGAGGATGGGAGAGCAAATTATTCCTCAAGTATCAAAGTTTAAATACCTAGGATCCATTATACAGGAGGATGGGGAAATTGATAGAGACATTTCTCATAGAATACAAGCTGGCTGGTTAAAGTGGAGGAAAGCTACCGGAGTTATTTGCGATAAGAAGGTACCTGAGAAACTTAAAGGAAAATTTTATCGGACTGCTATAAGACCAGCTATGATGTATGGTAGTGAATGTTGGGCAATAAAGGGAAAACAAGAGCACAAAGTCGGAGTAGCAGAAATGAGGATGTGAGATGGATGTGTGGTCATACAAGAAAAGATAGGATTCGAAATGAAAAGATCAGGACAAGAGTCGGTGTGGCACCTATCCAAGAGAAAATGGTTGAAAATCGCTTAAGATGGTTTGGACATGTGCAGAGAAGGCCTTTGGAGGCCCCGGTGAGGAGGGTGGATCAAACAAGATGGAGTCCCATAAAAAGAGGCAGGGGAAGACCGAGAAGAACGCTGAATGAGGTCATTGAACGAGACCTTCTAATCAACAACATATCTAAGGATTGGGTTGTTGACAGAGCACGATGGCGTCGTGTGATTCATATAGCCGACCCCACCTAGTGGGATAAGGCTTGTTGTTTGTTTATAAATTCGGTATTATTAATACTACTAAATAAAATATTATTATCAACCCTAACTTAAAATTTAGTAATTTTTAACTTTTTTTATTTGAAGTATTTGTACAGCTTTCCAAATGCCAGTATTTACGAAGAGCGTCTTTCTTTTGCCAAATCCGAATTGCCGTTCCAGCGTTCCCATCGTATTACAGACTCAGAACAACTTGTAACTCAACCATAGCCATTCTGCGAGAACACATTTCATATTTTCATGCTTATCTGGAGTGCTCATCATAATCTGTATTATCTAGATTAATTTTAAATGATTCAAATTTAATTTAATTTTTTATATTTTAAATAATTATCTATTCACAGATGCAGAATTTAAAAAAAAAATATTATAACTGACATCTTTTTTAAAAAAATAAATTTAGATTGAGAATAACGCAGTCTGCTCGAGCGCAGTGCAATACGCAGAGACACAAAGCCCAGTTGCTCCTACCAGATGGACAAGGCTGATTTTATTTTCAATTTACAGTACCAAGAAAGAGTCTTAACAAAACCAAGAAAAGAAACATGAGAATAGAAAACATATTTTTCCTTCTTCTGGAGCTCATAATAAAGAATCATATGAAAGTATCACTTCCATGACTTTTTCCAGCTGCATACTCCTAATCTGAAACTCAAATGAACGTATAGTAGGCAAAAATTGCATCACCAATGAGGCTGGCAATCATAAAATGAGTACCACATCTTATTATTGCATCGGGGGATGAAAAGCTCCTTCAACCAAAAGATGGAGCTAAACATTCATCAACCATTTCCAGCAAGTATGGCCTTTCCAGTGCGGCAGCCACCATTTCTTTATCATTTAGTTTTTTATTAACTGCAGGTACAATTGCAAAAGAAGTTGAATTAAACAAAGGGAAAAAAAGAAAGTCCAGCAGTCATAATCAAATATTTATAATGAAAAATTCAAGACTCAATCAAGGAAATTGTGAGATGTGCAAAATAGTCAAGCATCAAAGTTAACCGAGGTATTGAATCTGAATCTGAATCTAGTGGGAGAAACATATATTTGATTTCCAGGAACAATAACACGATTAAAAATCTGCTGTAAAAGACAATGACTGGTACGCATCACTTCACTGAAGAAACACAAAATCAACAAGCAAATAAGCAATAATATGATTTCTCTATATCAGTTTTAAAAGCACCGATTTTACATTCACTGACAAACAAATGTACTTATAGAGAGAGAGAGAGAGAACCTTCAGCCTCCTTCACATGAGATCCAGGCGCTACTCTGATATCCCTAACCGTGATTTGAAAAAGATAATAAGATAGTCGAGAAGATACACCTTTAATAGAAAGGGTGTCTAAAAATCAGTAGAATTTGATCTAAACTCCAAGAATGCTATACATTATACTTAAAAGGGTGCCACAGATCGATAATTTGTGTATTATAATAGTGATTGACAGTACATTCATGTTGCAGTTCATATAATAGAAATTTACATGATGCATGGGTTATGGATAGGAGTAAGCACACTTGGTAGTATTATACCATCCAACAGAATTGGACATTGGCTTTTCATCGTTATAATATGTGCGTGTGTGTGTGTGTGTGTGTGCCCTCTGTTATGCAAGACACAGCCTACGATACTCAAGAAAAATATAATTAAAGGTAAAAGCAAGCAACCACAACGATATTGAATCAAACAGAATGTTATTGCATGGACCCGCAGGTCTATCTATATTGCTTGCTTCCACTATTCTGAAATCTAATGACAAGCCACATTCACAATATATATGGTATACTAAGAATTTCAATGCATACATGAGTCAAGAGTCAAGACCCCAATTTTCCACAAAAATTTTGTCGGCACATTAGATTATTAGCCTGAAAAAAAAAAAGGCAAGCTGCAAACAGATGTCGATACCTTGTAGCGCGAAGGAAGGCTCCTCATGAGTTTCACACACCGTAAGCATAGACCTATGAGGCTCGGCACGGCACAATATTCAAGTGTAGGAGTAAACGTAACCCTGACGCAAAGCATCAGAATCCAAAATAACAAGGACGTTTCCACAGACATAATTAAGGCCAAAGAGCGAGAGGGGAAAGATGAACGAACGGTTCAATACCTGACATAACTATGCTGATCATCGACTTCAAGTGCATCTTTAGTTATTACTCTGAGCTCTTCCAAGGAGTTTGGATGCTCTGGGTCTCTAATATCCCTTATATGCTTAAGAATGTTAAGCAAACTGACCTTAAAATTGCATAAACAGAAGCACACAAAACATATATATAAATTGATGGTTGAAAAGCATATCAAAAACTTCTTGTTGATCAATCGGTTCAGGAACATCGTCATCAGCGAAGGTGGGCGTAGTGCGAGCTCGGCGCTCTTTCTTTTTGTGGATGATAGGATTAGCATTTATTAAGCCAGACACCATTTTGCTGGCCAATGTAGAGAACTCACAAATTAGGGCAACAAATGAGACGAAGGATGCCGCTGGAGGACGATCGGAGCTCTGGATGCGATATAAACGGCGAGCGCAGGAGAAATTTCGAAGAACAGGATGTAACTTCCCGGCTGGGCTATCCCGATTTGAGATTTTATACTTTAAGGTTCAATTAAGAAATTGCGAAAACCAATTACTCCGATATCAGAATTTTTGTTGTTGTTGCCAGAATCACAATTGATTTTGCTGTTATAGCGTTCTCATCGAATTGCGGTTCACTAATAATTTTAAGTTTTTTTTTATTTTTTCACCTGTATAATTTAGAGATTTTAAGTCATGGCAAATTTACTTTTTTCTTATGTTCAAAATGGCAAATTTATGCTAAAAGTCTCTCTTACATTTACTTTTCAGATTTAGTTTCGTAGTATTGTACGGCTTGTATTCTCTTTTGGGCAATGGATTCAGTTTCGATTTTTTAAAAAAAAAAAACAGAGAGAGAGAAAATTAATCTTTTAATCCCTCCGAGTTTTAACTTGTTTAGAACTCAGTCTCCTCAACTATGACTCGTTATGAATCAACTCCAAAAAGTTTAACTCACTTAAAACCCAATCCTTCATCTTTTTTATTGTCAATAATTTTGTCCTTATCATCTATAATCCATGCCAAGTCATCATTGAGCCATTTGCCTAAAATAAAATACAGCTATAAATTCTTTTATGGACTTCCAACTCAGCTCTCCACATAAATTTGACAAAAAAAATTGAAAAAAATAAAGCTTAAATTTACCATGAACTCGGACTTGGCGATGATGACCTGACAACAACCTCACTCTCCCTCACTAACCTCTCTCTCCTCTTCTTCATCGCCTTAGATGCTTGCTAGTTGAGATAAGGAATTACCGAATAGACTGAAAACTTTTGGAGGAAACTAAAAAAAAAAAAAAGGAAACAGGGGCATAAACTCATTCAAAAATGGCGGTGTCTTATCATTGACAATTCTAATTCCAATGGAGATGGTAAGAAAGATCCATCCCGATCCTATATAGTTGACTGCAAGCTCACAAACTACTCGTCTTGAAAGCAACAAAAACAATGGAGTTTCAAGGACAGGTGCAACTGCAACTGTTTATAATTTTGTCCTTATCATCTATATCCAATTGAGATGGTGAGAAAGATCCATCCCAATCCTATATAGTGTATATTTTATAATTAAATATGTGTAATTTGGATATATTAGTGAAGATCTATAAACATTTTGTATGAATCTAATTTATTTATTTTTCTTAAATTTAAGTATTAAGATAAAAAGTAATTTTTTACAAAATTTACTCATATCTTTCCTATTTGAAAGGAGATCTAGAACAACGGAAGAGGGAAGGAGTAGATACAGAGGGATGAGAGATGGGGCATTAATTACAACTTTCTCCGAACTTCAGAAGGAAGGGGTGGCAGCTTGATAAGATAGGGTATGCAGTTGTAATTTTCTCCCCACATGAGAAAGGAAAAAGGTGAAATCGTTCATAGCCTGAACGAGTTCTCCCTTTTGTTTTAAAAAAATGCAAGTGTCAGAGTGAAACTTCATTAGAGCGTGATCGAGTTATTAAAATGCAGCATCTCAGATTCCCAGTATATATTCTCACAATGTAGTATTTTGGTAAATATTTCGTTTTGTAATATTTTTACTAAAAATGCTGTAGAATTCCATTTGACCCGCCAGATGTTTTGGACTGGGATTCCCTCCACCGTCCTTTCCATCATCCGCCCTTCCATTATCCTGTCCTTAATAGATTTTTTTTACTAATTTAATTAGATTAAGAAGTTAGGTAAGTTAATTAATTTATAAGAAATGTGCAGACATTTTTTTAAAACACCATAATCATCTTTCTTAATATCCCTCTCTCTCGTCTACTTGATTATGATTGAGGGAATATCCATAGGGGTAATTATAGAAAAATTGATAAATATGGAAATGGGTCTTTGTATTTAGACAAAACCCTAATAATTAGGTCCTATATTAAGGACCGAAGGAGTATTTTTTTTTTCTCTACACTATTGAGTCAAAATTTCAATAATCAGATTAATGTTTTATAAAATAAATATTATTACAAAAATAGATAAATAAATTTTAATAATTAAAATCTGATTTAAACAGTTCACATGTCTATTATCATAGAACCAAAAAAAATTTCAATTTTTTACGGCTGACCTTTTTTCTTTTTGGCACATGCGGTCGAAAAGTTCAAAGCATAAATCCGTCAGCACTGACGTCCGCGTTTTCAGTAGTGTGCGTCATCGAGTTCGTCAAGACCCACCCTCCCCTTCTCCCTTACAAATACCCTCCACCCCCCTTCGTTCCTTCCTCGTATTCCTCTCTCTCAAGTCTCACCACTTCACTCACACTCTCTCTCTTCCTGTCTGCCATAATCTTTGTCTGTCCGTATAATATTCTTCTTGTCTGTGGCAAGTGTTTAAGTATTGAAATGGCCGGAGCACAAGCTTTTGAGTTTGAGCATCCCAGGAAGGCCTTCGGATGGGCTGCTAGGGATTCTTCTGCCTTCTCTCTCCTTTCAACTTCTCTCGAAGGCATATAAAAATTCCTTCATTATTCAATCTTTTGCATCCTTATATTCCCTTCTTCATTTCATCCTTAACTAACATGACTCTCTATT